AGCGCTGACAACGCGAGCCACGCGCGAAGCCCGAGCGACCGCGCAGTCACTTCATTGCGAAAACGCAGAAATCAAGGCAAGCGGAATAAGGGCGTTGCGAAAATGCAACGTAGAGGTCCTACCTAAAAGCGAAAAGGAAATTGCGAAAATGCAAGCAAAGGAGTCCTACTTAGAACTCCTTAGCTTGCATCCGGATCTTGCCGCAAAAATCGAGCGACACGACATGGTCTTGTCGCTAAACGATCGATATACATATATTTATTCCGAATACAAAGGTGTCATTTTTATTTATAATAAAATCAGTGAGTTACTCGGGCGGAGCCCGAATTCCCAAATTCCTTTCAGCAAACGATCCTAACTACCGTGCCTCTCCGGAGGCATAACAACCCAGTAAGCAGAATCAGGGCTTATTCGATGCAGAATCGTTAGGTGGTCACAAATCCTTTATTTACAACGTTTCGTGGTTTATTTATCCAAAAAGTAAAAAAAACCATGTGCGGTTAGGTAGTGGAGATGGCTAACTGGAAGCTGTAAAGTTAGCCGAACAAATATATTATTTACCAACCAATTTTGTTCAAATTGGTCTTAATTGAAAGACAATCGTTTGGTGGTGATTGGTAGTCTAATTAAAACGTTTAGTAATTAATTATTAGGCTTCTACGATTATATACGGCTCTTAAAAGTTTTAAGAGCAAATGGGAATTGCCCATTTCGTTACTCTCGGTCTTTACATCACTAAAAACAGTATACTTTCCTGCTCCTACAGCCTTGTTACTGCCATTGTAGACGGCCCTTTAGAGTACGTTTACACGTCACCCCTAATCGGGTTTAATAACATTCGTAGTTCGAAGGCTGGCCAATCACAGTCATTCCATTCTTCAGAGGAATAGCTGTGATTGGTCAGTTTCACAACTACGGATGTTATTAAACCCGATTAAGGACCAATTTCACCAAGTCCGGTTAGATTAACCGTTGGTTAATCTAACCGGACTTGGTGAAATTGGCTCTAAGGGTGCCGTGTAACAGAGCTCTTAGGCCGGTATTCATAGTCAGTTCTTATATTTAAGACCGTCTTAAGCACAATCTTAAGATGTCCTAAACCAATCACAGAGCCGTATTAGCATCTTAAGACATTACTTAAGTGCCGGTCTACAATAGGCGATTTAAGCCCTAAGCCTTATGACTTAACCTCTAAACTGTGACGTATTTCCGACCTTGAACATTTCTCGCGCTGCCTTAAACCTTAATCTCTAAGCCCTAAGCAAGTTGGCCAACTCCTATCTTTTAAAGCTTAGAGCTTGAGGCTAGGATCGATGTAATTTTTCTCTTAAAACAAAAGAGCAAATGGGAATTGCCCATTTCGTTACTCCCCGTCTAAACATCACTAAAAACAGTATACTCTCCTACTCCTATAGCCTTGTTACTGCCATTGTAGACGGGCCTTAAGGGCATTCTACAATGGCAGTAACAAGGCTGTAGGAGTAGGAGAGTATACTTTTAAGAGCAAATGGGAATTGCCCATTTCGTTACTCCCCGTCTAAACATCACTAAAAACAGTATATTCTCCTACTCCTACAGCCTTGTTACTGCCATTGTAGAATGCCCTTTACACTTACGTCTTACGTCCTTACGGAATTTTGTGTGTGATGGCCTTAAGGGCATTCTACAATGGCAGTAACAAGGCTGTAGGAGTAGGAGAGTATACTTTTAAGAGCAAATGGGAATTGCCCATTTCGTTACTCCCCGTCTAAACATCACTAAAAACAGTATATTCTCCTACTCCTACAGCCTTGTTACTGCCATTGTAGAATGCCCTTAAGGGCCGTTTACAATGGCAGTAACAAGGCTGTAGGAGTAGGAGAGTATACTTTTAAGAGCAAATGGGAATTGCCCATTTCGTTACTCCCCGTCTAAACATCACTAAAAACAGTATACTCTCCTACTCCTACAGCCTTGTTACTGCTATTGTAGACGTCTCTTAAGACGGTCTTGAAATAAGAACTATGAATACCGGCCTTCCGTTTTGGCAACACAAAATCGGGAGAGTTGCGCTACTGTATATACTGGGCCCATACTATAATATCGGGTGCACCCAGGTGGGGAATCGGAACACAGCATCAGGTAGGTTACGTTTATTTGGAAAATTACTTATCACAGCGACGAATAGTGGCTGTGTTAGAAACTAAATATTTCTTCAATAAGCGACCATACACCCACCACTGAAATTGCGGCCAGTTTCAAGACCTGTATGTAAGACCGTGATCTAGGTAAAGTCCCGGTCTACTTTTGTCAACGTTTTTTTTCTCATTGGTTCTATTGTGAAACGTGACGTTGACGGCGAACGATTATTGTTCTTCCATTGTTTCTTGCGTCGCAAGAGTCTGCGCCAAGATTTTTGTTTCTGTTGTCATCGAATTGTCTGGGTGTCTTTAAAACGATATCCGGCTCGATATTCTCAACCAGCTCAATCTAAGCACTGGTCACTGGTTAATAAGAAATTTTAAATTCTAACGATTTTTCAGAAAGTGATAAGCTCCGTCATATCGGAACATGGACATGGATTTATTGTTCTTCTCGTCCATAGACGATGCCACGAAAGCATGGCTCGACACTCTGCATCGGATGTGGGCATTATGTAAGCGCAATTTTCCCAACATAAATTTTTTTTATCACAACGCACAAATGCATTAATTGGTAATTGAATCATTTGTAGGGAAGAAATGCGACGGTGTCAGCAAAACATTAACGGATTACTTTGAAACGGCACCAAATCCATATTTGAGCACATTGAGAATCCTTGTCAACACCTCTGACTTTGATCATATGACAAACAGCAAATCGCTTGCATTTGCAGGTTTTTACTTTTTAACTATTAATTTCTTTTGCAATGTACATGATCGTAGTTTTTTAATTCAAAATACATTTACATAATATAGAAAATAAATTGAGAATTTCTTTTTTATTTGTATCAATAGATACATTTCCAATGATTTTGAGCTTGATAATTATATCTCAAAAACAATCTGCAGGAGTATAGGTTGAAGCAAAGTCAATTATTTTTATTTCTACAACATATATCAAAATCAAGGAAGTATATTCTGTAAATAATTACCAAATTATCTTCTGGAATTATTGAAACAATATTTCAGAGTTTTTTAAGGTGTAAAGAAATGAAGGTTTTTTTAAAACTAGATTACTTTGTAACTTTGTATTGTGTACATTGTACTTTGTATATTCTTTGAAAAACTACCTTGTAGTATAATTTCGTTCATGTTACAGTGATAGAAGAATTTTCAAATTGGATAAAAGATAGAAAAGAAGGTTATAAGGAATTTCTTGTTCCTGATTTGAAACTAGCAGCTTTCAAATTAATAAAGCAAAAACATATGAAACAAATGCTGCTAATTAAGAATGTTTCTACTATATATGATTTCGTGGAACATAAAGATATGTTTCTACAAGCAATAAAGGTATGCTGCCAAAAATGTAATAATTTTTATTCCATACTCGCACGTGTGTGTGCGTGTGGTGTGTGTGTGGGTGTGTGTGTGCGCGCGCGCACGTACTATACATACATACCATAAATAATATATTTATTTATTTATTTATTTATTTTTGTAGGAAATGATACGAGATAAAGAATATAAGGAGGCTGCACAATATGCTGCAATGTTACAATTGCAGAGTCATTTTATGGATCCAGAAATATTATTATTACCACTTATATTACAAAATAAATTACAAGTAGTTGACGAATTTCTAGTTGACTGCCAAGATGTTCAAAAGGCCTTGACGACTTATTTAGATAACTTGATAGCACCAGGAAAAAATGTACAAATCATATTGGAACGATTTATTTAGTGAGTGATGATGTATCCGTTCATTCACACATACAAGACATTTTAATTTTATGATTAATTAATTGAGATTTTTACTGAATTAAATATTTTCAGTGAAAATGATATTCCAGAAGTTAAAATATCGTTAACACAAGTTCGTCCGATAACTAAGCTTATTGCACGTCTAATAAAGCAGTACAATTTGTCACCTGATGTATGTCCACACTTGAACACAAAACGAAATGAAGGAGCATTGCAATTTATCATACATAAACGTTATGTGGATGGTAGCTTAAGTAAATATCCAGTTGTCTTTACAATTATTTAAAGTCATTATCTTATGGGAATAGAAACATATATATA